ATAATACCTCGTGGTTTGAAGGATAGTGGTAAAGATAAAGGGGCCGCACTGTGATCCTTAACCCTTAAATGCATGAATGTTTCGCCAATCATTATTAAATATATTCGGGTCTTTAGCGACCCGGACCTATATATCCAGCACGGATGGATCTCTAACTGCTGCAATAGCAAAAAACTCTTGATATTTTACAGAACAATTACAGAAGAATAAAATAAAGCATATTTCGTTACCTTTTGAAACTTAAAAGGGTTCAAATTGAGCAGATGATTTTACCATCGCTGTCATCTTCAGAGCGCACTTCCACAGTACATTCAGCATCTGCCTCACATTCACGATCTCAAACATATTCTCAAAACTATCCTTTTCAATTACTTCATACATTTTGATCACTGGCAGCTTATTCATCACATCCAGCATCAAATGATAGTGACATTTATATTTAATTGCGTATAGTAATTGCTCTGCAGTAAAGCCATTCAAACCACTTCAATTTTTGCTGATATTCGTTTGTTTTATGCCTGCGGTAATTACGAGTTAAACGTCACGTTATCATTGTGTATCAAACAGTGCCACCTTGAGGAAAAAAGATGCATTGCACATATCGAGTCATCAGATATGTAAATATAGTCCAGCAGGAAAAAAACCACTTACACATTTACATACCTTGGGTCTCTAGCGATCCTATACACTTTTTACAAAAAATTTATCAGAAAACAGGCACTCTTTTATATTTTACCATTTTTTTCTTGTTATATTGTTTATAATTAATAGATTGAGGAATAACTAAGAAAGTTGATGTCTAACTTAAGAGAATGATGTCCCGGGTCGCTAAAGACCCGAGGTATGCATTTAAGGGTTAATTGAATCTTTTAATGTCATCTAATCATTCTTGTTCTAAATATGACCGACAAGATTTTTTGGTACGTAAAATATTGTTACATTGATATTTTAGTGGGTGTCTTATGTAAATCATGGGGAAAATGTAGCAAATACATTTTTTCTCAGAAAAAAAAAGAAAAAAGAAAACATGAACAGGACATATTCTAATGTGCGGAAAAAAAATTATGCTGTATTAAACCTTTATTGTATTATTGCTTGAAACCCCCTTTTTGTTATTGAACCATATATAATACACATACATACATACATATATATACACACACACACACACACTAGGCTTGCCGCGATAGACGGTGCTGACGGTGATACCCCAACACCGGTTAAGCCACAACACCGGTTACGTCACTTGCCCACTGCGTCACCGACCCCCACCGTCGTTTAGATTTTTTTTATAGTACCGGCTGCTCAATGCAGTGTGCCGAACGACAGTAGCATCACAGATCAGATTTAATTTCTCCAGTGAGGAGAGCGAGTCCAGCTGACTGATGAGAAGAGTGGGGTGAGACAGACAAGACGATGGCGGATGATTTAGCTTCGAAACGAGATGCAAAAGCGCCTGTTTGGCAATATTTTGGATTACACACACACACACACACACACACACACACACACACACACACACACTTTTGACAACATTTAGAATAAATAATAATGCAAAGCACCTTTATGAATCTGTATGTATGAATGTTAATATGGTTGCGAGTTGCTCACCATCCCGTTCTGATTATACGGTATCTGCTGCACACAGACAGATCCACTACAGTTGAACCCAAACGACTTTTATCTCCAATCGGGCCACCGTCCACCACAACAGCCAGACTGGGCCACAAATCCTCAAACTCCTGCAGAAAACCACCAACACGTCAAACACACACTGAGGCCCATTTAGAAATAACGGAGTTTTGTACTTGCGTTAGCAGCAACTGAGCTGGTTTGTGCGCTGACGTTAGCACTGGTGAGAGCAAGCGGCTCGCCGCACATCTGACAGAGACGCCTCATGAACGGATGGTCTGGAACACGAACCCCTATGAGCTACAGCACACAAAACATTAAATGACACCGAAGACAGACAACAACAGAGGACAGTACTGAGATCTACACGCATAACAAAAAGAAGTGTGCTTCATTGTATTAAATGTGCACTTGTAGTGTACTTCAGATTTTAAAAGTACATAGCATTTTCTTAACACACTTAAGTACACTTTGTGCATAATGTAATAATGTCAAATGGAAAGGTTTAAGGTACATTTCAAATCAATATTTGAATAATCTTTTGTTGCGTGTTAATGAAGTACACTTATTTTGATGTGTTGAACAACATACTAAAGCACATGAAAAGTACTTGATTATAATTTTTAATTTTGTGTATTTGACATTTAAAAGGTAATATTTTAAATGCACTAACCAGACAGCTTCATTACAAATGTGAAATTACAAATATATTTAAATACATGACAAGTTTCAATAGAAATGTCATTAAAGTATATTTTAGTTTATCATAAATGCTTATCAGTACATTCAGCAGTGACACTTTAACCATATTACAAAGATAAATAATTATAAAATTACATATGAAAATGTACTTAGGTTCTAATTAAGTGGGTCAAAAAGTTAAACTAATTGCATTTAATATAAATTTAAACTTTACTAATTGTAAATAACATACAATTATATGTTCAAATACATTACATTCAGCTCTCACCTAAAGTATATTACCTTCTTAAGTGCTCTTTTAAAGTATGCTCAAGTATTCTCTTTCACAAGGGGTATAATATATATATATATATATATATTCATATTCAAGCAAACAGAGAATAGCGAAAGCAAACCTTGGTAAAAGGATTGAGGTCTCCGTTCAGTGTGGAGGATCTTTCCAGAACTAGTGTAACCGGTCCAGGCAGCAGATCTCGGAGCAGCTCCTCCTTCACAGACACCTTACAGAATCTGAAAGCATTCAGAACCGCCTTGCAACACAAATACTGTACTGTCACTCTATGACCATGATACTTTGATATATATTCCATAAGTGCATATGAAGTCACTTAAAATATTTGTTGCAGTCAAATCACCACAGTGCAACGTCAATGTCACTACTATAAAAAAAAAAAAGAGATGGTACAATTTTCTAATATTTTTGAAAGTCTCTTGATCAAAAATACAGTAGAAAGTATATTGTAAATACAGTAAATAACTATAAAACTACAGATTTATTGTGAAATATTAATGCAATTTAAAAGAACCGTTTTCTATGCTAAAATGTAATTTATTCCTGTGATCAAATCTGAATTTTCAGCATCATTACTCCAGTCTTCAGTGTCACATGATCTTCAGAAATCATGAAAATATGCTGATTTGCTGCCCAAGAAACATTTCTGATTATCAATGTTGAAAAAAGTTGTGCTGCCAAAAATTGTGGAAACAGAGACATTTTCAGGATTCTTTGATGTAGAATGTTCAAAAGAACTTTTGTATCATTATAAAATATCTGCAATTGCAGTTTTGAATAATTTAAATGCAGTATTACAGAATAAAAGAAAAAACAACTAATAAAATATCTTACTGACCCCAAACCCCTCAACAGCAGTGTTGTTTCAGTAAACTGATCTGAGAACTGTGAACTAACCTGTAGATGTCCTGTATTTCTCCGACACAGATGGCGAGAGGTTTGTCTCCATGCCTTCCTTTGATGTCATAAACTCTCCTGACGGCCGCAGAGTGTTGAGCCACACAGGCCAGACCGTAGATGGTGTCAGTGGGAACGGCCACGACCTGCCCCGCTTTCAGAGCCTTGACTGTGGCGCTCAGGATCTCGGTCCACTCTGTGCTCACAACAAACAACAAGTACACCAGATTATTATAAACTACAGGCACATCCCAAGGGCCGATCCTTCAAAATACAAACTTCAATTTTTCCTTCTTACTGATATATTAGGGCCTATACATGAAAAGGTTTTTATTTTGTAAACGCCTTGTATTTTCAGATCCATCAACACTACATTATGAAGAGCACTTTTTTTTTTAACTACAATAAGCTGAACAAAGAGTGAAATAATAAACCATTGTTATGCGTGTCTGTGCTTCTTTTTTTAATTTAACTTTAACTGTATTTTTACTCAAATTATTAAATGTTGTCATAATTTTTGCCAAAACCAACAATTTTAGCCCAAATGAAGTTAACAAAAATAAGTTTAGCCTACTTGGTTACCAGGGCGACAATTGGATGATATAGAAAACATTTTTACTTACGAGACTACCTTTAAAAAGCCATTATTTTTCTAAAATTTAATTATGTATTTAGATACGTAAATCGCTAGCTATGACATTATGACAAATACATGTAATTTCCACCACAGAATATCACTCCAGGGTCATGAACCTATTTTAGCACCAGTCGTTCATAATACATAACTTGAAATATAGTGGAAGTGACACTGTAGCAGAATAATCAAGACAACATTGATGTATATCCGTCGTTGAGCCGTTTAAAGACAATACATGACTAGCGAGGGTGTTTACTATTAGTCCACAGAGCCAAAAGTGCCATAGCTGAGAGTAAAAGATTATAGAAATACGAAAACGGAGCGTGTGTTGTAAACCACGAGCAAAAAACTGATAGTAGTGTTTGTTTCTGGACTAAATAAGCACATTCGAGAGCATAAATGGCCATGTATCACTGACGGCTCTTACCCTGCTGCTGCGAGGTCGGATCACCGGAGCTCTGCGCTGATAACCGCAGGACTCTCGTCTTTAGCTCTTTACACATGCCGACGCTTCTAAACGGCCGATTTAGTGTGAACGAGTAAATATTTAAACGTATGCCGGCCGTACGAATAAAACTGAAGAGTACCATAAACGGCAGACAGCATGCTTTCATAAACTAGAAAGCCACGCTTGACAGCGCTTCAAAATAAAACGCCACTTCAAAATAAAAGTCCCTTCATAACAACACTACGCCACAAAAAAAAAACATTTCAATTACTTTTAAATTTAGATCTTTCTTTAAATCGTGCAGGAACAACAGATTCCGAGTAAGCAATCCAGGTGCATCTTGTTAAGACCGATAAATATAATTAACTTGCTCGTGTAATTAATTAGGACTAATTACTAATGAATATAATTAAGATCGACCGCTTCCGGATTGACCGTTTTACAAACAAAACTAAAAATGGCGTCAGTTACAGGTGAGATATTTCCGTACATTTAAAGAATAATGTCATAGACTGATATTTCTTATTAATGTCCATACTTCAGAAAACACAGATGAATCAAACACCCAAATAAAAGATATTCCTGCAGATCAGGTAAATTGCATGTTTCTGTATTTATTTATTTTGTTTAAAAAAAATCACTTATTTAATTCACTAATAAATACATTTTTCAAACAGTGCCCTTCTGTGAGACAACTGGAGGCTCTTGATGGGAAAATCTCTGACAGACTAGAACAGATCGAGCTCTGCACCATGATCCTGAATGACCTGCTGGAAATGCAGAAAATAGTCGCTGTAGGTTTTTAATATTGTTTATAGATGTGCTTCTAAAATGCTGTTTGCAGAGCTACTCATTCAAATGTTTATTTTGGTAGGAAAGATGCCTTGAAAATGCATCACTTTGAGGACTGGATAACTGAACCGTTTCCTTTCAGTATTAGAAATCTACAAGTATGCATATATAAATAAAATCTTATTGTGACAATGTGATAGAGCAATTTCTTTCTGAAACAAGTCAAATAATGTAACAACTCGGACAGGATTTTACTGGTATTGTATTGCTTTTTGATTCAAAAAGTTATTACTTTGCCATAATACTTTATACAAAACAAGCATATGAGAAATTTCACATTATACATTCTTTAAAAATACAGATCTTTACAGTTTCCTCACACTTTGGGTATCAAAAGCAGTCCTTGTGGAAGCATTTGTTTCCTCTTTACCTCAAGCTTCTGCGACTCCACTAACATGCCAGACCAACTTCTCCTGTCTAGTGTCCTTGATGCTGCCTGAACCCGAAGAAATCCAGAATAAGGAAAAGCAATAGTTTATTAAGCTAGTTTGTTGCATTAAATCATAAGTTAATGCCTTAAAAAGTCCCATGTGTGAATGAAAACGTAATGATGATGGCACCTGATGAAGGTGGAATAATAATAATAATTAAAAAAAAACATTGTAGGCTGTCAGTCGATCTTGAGCAAGAACACAACCAGAAGGGTTGACAGTCAAGCAAGTAGTTCTTTCACCAGTATTTTTCCAACAATAAAACAAATGCAAGATTTTCATGTCATGTGGGGGTCAATAAAAAAAAAAATACATTGAAGCAGCAATAATTTTCAACAGGAAAAATATACATATACACATATAACATTGCAATGCCCAGATACAAAACAAAACAGATGAAGTCACACCAAACATAACTGTACACAACAAACATTGAGACTTAAGAAAAAAAAAAGGCTTTTAAATTTGAAATACTCAATGCAATAGGACACGGCTGTTTCTCTAAATGATGACTTGCATACTAAAATGACCACTGAATGCTAACACGCACGATATTTTGCTTATGAACATGTACAGATGGAGTGATTTTATGTTTTTTCTATATGCTCCATGACATTGCATAGTTGCTTATTTTTGTTAGGTGATGAATAATAACTGCCTTCAATCAAAATGAATATTTCATGTAAAGTAACTTGTCAAAACTAGAGTCCTATGCGAAATATGCGAACAAAACAAGGCCGGAAAGCATGTGCATTATTATAATTATTAAGGTACGGTTGATCATTATATTGGCTGGACCCCAAAGTAAGTGCATTTATTAGGGAAAAACTGTGTCGTTCAGACAGATCGCATTATAATGTTCTAGTACTAGGTTTGCACAGGTCCCATTAATAGATATTTAAAAAGAAAATGTAGTGGATAAATAACAAAGCAACTGATTAACATTTTGGGAGCGACGTACACAGAGCTACCAGCGCAATGAAGCATCACTGTCAGTTCACCGTTTAATTTGGCACTGGATAGGAAAAGACTCGCTCGGTAATATCTATCCGATTCAAATTCTCCATATCTAGTCCATGCTGAAATGAAATAACTATCACGAGTTGTAAGGCAATTCTTGTCCTACTTGAGTCTGAAACACAAGGATCTGCGGAGAACTACATACTGCATAAGAGATGCACAGGTGACAGTAAAGGCAGTGCAGAGTCACGTCTCTCATCTCATCTCACACCCAAAGTCTGATTTCTCATAGTTCTATACAAAAATACAAATACAATCTAAAGGCTTAAACATTTATCATCTCAAATGTACTATGTATTTACATGACGGTCATCTCTTTAGAACCTCTATACAGCAGTGGTATATAAATGAGGGGCAAACGAGCGGCGTTGAACCGTGGCTGGGTAGTGCACTACAAGCAGGTTAAAAACAACAGGTCAGATGAGTTGTGTCTGCTTACCTGGTCAGCGCACGCACACACACACGCACACGCACACGGACACACATGCACAAACACACGCACGCACGCACGCACGCACACACACACGCACACAAACGCACGCACACGCACGCACATGCATGCGCACGCACACACACACACACACACACACGCACACACACAAACGCACGCACGCGCACGCACGCACGCACGCACGCACACACACACGCACACAAACGCACGCACACGCACGCACATGCATGCGCACGCACACACACACACACACACACACGCACACACACAAACGCACGCACGCGCACGCACGCACGCACGCACGCACACACACGCTTATCATCTCAGAATATACTGCTGCTTGTTTTTCTGCATCCCTGAGTGGGTCACAAGAGACTCACGTGGGTTTAGAAATGGGGTTCACGAAAGAAAAAGTGCAGGGAGACGCTGATAAAAGGAGGGAAACAGAGATCTGTAACAATCGATGGGGGGAAGAAAACCAAAGGAGACCCAACCACATGCCTATCACAAAGGCAAAAGTGTTTGATTTCATCACAGTATTCAAGAGTGATCATATTTAATCCAAAAATCAAGAGGAAAAAAAACCCCATCTAATTTTTGCATAAAGAAAAAGACTATATATATTGTGGCTACAAATTAAGAACTTCTTCCCATGACTTGTTAATTCATTGCCACAATTTACTAATTTGTTCCCTTGATTTAACAATCATGGCCACAACTAAAACAAGGGAACGATTTAGTAAATAGTAGCCACAATTTACTACAATGACGGAGTGAATTCATAAATTGTGGCCATGATATACTAATTTGATTCCTCATTGTAGTAAATCATGGCCATTATATAATTAAAATAAATTAGTAAATCGTGTTACAAGAAAAAACATTGCTGTGGGAACGAATTCTTAATTTGTGGCCACGATATATATATATATATATATATAAATTCAATTCAGTTTAAATAATATATGTATTTATTGTTTATATTATTTTTACATTACTATAATGAAAATTGGAGGAATTAAATTGTCATTAATAAAAAAAAAATAGTAAAATAGGGTTAATTTTCTTTATGCAAAAATTACCATTTTATATTTTTGTTTTGATTGTGGGAAATATGACCCAGAAAATTTCTAGACAGGTTTCATGAGATTCACTTAAAGACATAGTTTGGGGAAAATCTAGAAAAATATAGTGAAAAGTTGGGGAAAAGAGCTACATTTATCCAACAATTGAGTATTTTAATAAATTAACATACATAAAATTAAATACTAAGTTATTATAGGCAGCCAAACAAACCTAAATGACATTTAAAAGGCAGGTAAATGTTGATCGCAGTTTTGTGACAAACTGTAAAATAAAATCTCAAAAATCACATTATTATTATTTTTTTGAGCACTGCAGCCTTTCTAATAAATTACACATAAAATACTTAAACGTTTCAATGTGCAGGACTTTTCGTAGATGACTTCATTCCCCACAAACTGTGATGAAGGCCTTTCTGTTGACGTCTCAGACACACCAGTGAACTAACGTGTAGTAAATTCCCATCCATCTAGTGGGTTTCAAGTTTAAACTCAAGTACAGCATGTGGCCGGGCGAAAACTCATCTTGTTTTGTACGGAGAATCTCTATAAGCAGATTTAGATCTTTAAATAATCTCTGAAATAATCGACCAAAACAGTGGGGTTAAAACACTACCGAGACTCTAAATCATTATGAGAAGCAACTAAGCTACTTCTCCTGGTGCCCTAAACCGCTCCGCCTGCTACTCTCCCTTAAAAGTGCACCAAAAACCACTCCGTTTCACACAGACCTGGGGAGAGACGCGTGCCTATAGCAGAGGTGCAGGTGTATGTGAGATACCCATCCGTACACGGTACAGACGAACAGTGAGGCCTGAGCCTCTAGGGGGCGCTGCTGCTGCTGCCTCCATCGGTCAAGCCGAACTCATCCGCCACCATCAGCAGAGCCTCTATGTTGGCCGTGGTGTCTGGACTGAGCAGATCTGAGACATCTATGCCGGCCAGGCCATCGCTGGGGGTGTTGGGGGTCACCGGAGCGGCCAGGTTGTCCTGTTGGGGCTGAGCGGGGTTCTCTTTAGATGGGCAGCAGGATGGAGGTTCTTCGGGGAGAGCAGGAGGAGCTGGAGGGGCAGGAGGAGCTGGAGGGGCAGGAGGAGCTGGAGGAGCAGGAGGAGGCGACGTGTTCTTTGACTTCTCCAGTGAGGAGGCAGCACTCTTGTCTTTAGCCGAGTCTCTGCAGGCACACTGACACTGGCAGGACTCCTCCTGCTTTATGATGATGACCGGCAGACTCAGACCGATCTGCTGCACTGCATTCCCTGAAACAACCACAACAACTACCTGTGTGAGAAGCTCATGACAATCTGTACTGCACTCTCTGTTAGGGCTGCATGATAATGGGTATAAAATGATCTTTGGTTATCTCACAAAAAAAAAAAAATATATTTATTTATTCACTTTTTATCGCCATGCCAACATCAAGGCTATTTTCATAGCAATCTCAGAATAAATTACACAAGGTATACAATTAACAAATAGTTATAAAAGATGTTTCAAATATACACTAGACAAAAATTCTAAAATACATTCAGGTGATACATTTTTAAATAAATCAGTTAAACACATCTCTGAATAAAACCGCTGTCTATTTACATTAAAAACAGTACAATCTAATAAAATATGCTTCACAGTCATTTTTGTTTGACAAGTCACTCAACAATATAATAGTGATTATCTTCTTTTTCTATTTTATCAGAAATATTGCACAAATAAAGAGAACGACAACATATACATATATACTTGTCACATAAATTAAATTTGTTTCTAAATGATGAAAACAGGTTAAACTAGAAGCTTCTCTCAAAAGCTAAAACAGTAAAATTCCTAATATTAACACCAGAAATTCCCACTTATGTAACGTTTTTCTATTAAGGCAAGACACCACAGATAAAACAGGCCACTTTTGAGATTTTGGGCTGTTTGACTTCTCATAATGTGTTGTTTCAGGATAGTGGAAAGAAACCATCTAAAATACACATATTTTATTGCACTTTTTCTATTGACATCTGTAGATATCAATCACTAATCTGCAAAGGCTGTTTTCACTTGCATACACCAAACTTTACCATTTTTCCTATCTATATTTGCCTGATTTTATACATCATTTACTAATACTAAAAACATGTTGACAATTATTATTATTTTTTCCTGCTGTTGACAGCATTTACTGGTGGTGTGGTGATGAATGGTTGCCAGATTGATAAGATTAAGTAGAAAAATACTCTCCGAGGTATTTCAACCCTTGACATCTGGCAACCTCAAGCTTGTTATCAGTACAAGATAATGTCAAATGGAAAAAAGTTGATCATAGACGATTATGCTTAACCTATCAAGAGAATCAGAAGCTGGAATTGCAATAAAAAAATGTAAAAAAAACATGTAGCCCTATTCTGTTGTCATTGCAAATTTTAAAATCAATAAAAATTCAATCATACCTGAATGTCCACCGACTGGTATGGCTGTTGTAAAAAAGACCTTCTCTACTTTTGGGCCCTGAAAATAAAAGCAGTAGTAACGTCAACAACTGAGAAGAATAAATAAATGTATGCCATTAATTCAAACCTGAACTAGACAATTATTTAAGATCATAACCACTGTTAAAACAATCTAACGGTAAAAAAGAAAAATTCAGAGAATATCTGCAAAATAATCGTTCATGCATATCAGGCAAGATTAGCATGTTTGTAAAAGCAAAAGCAAGCAGTGAAATAGTTAACTTAAAAACAAAACCACACACACGCCTAAATAGCAATAAGAACCTATTACTGAATGATTTCACTGATGTCTATATGAAGGCCATAATGGTCGTGTGTGTGAGACGCGGGAGCTGATGGCAGGGGGCGGTGGATATTTGTGGAGGTCAATGTGGATATTGTGGATGAGTTCTTCTGTGTCATCACGTTCTATTAGTTCTTCAGCTTCAGTTTCAGAGCTTTCACGCTTAGCTGTTCCCTCACCACAGTGCAACACCCCTTTCAAACAGTGAAACCCGGTAAAAAACCGGTATTCAGTATGAACCGGTATACCGCCCAGCACTAATGGTTGTAACAATTTACTTTCAAGTCAACTTTGTGTTTTAAATTTGTCAAGCTGCTCTGATGTGCGCCTTTGAGGATGAATTAGCCGCTGGATTTGAGAAACACTGTGAGGTCCATAGCATCAAATCTTTGAATGTCGTCCTGGTTCCTGATACAGTGGCTAATTCTTGGCCAGAACAAACTACAATAATAAACTACAATATGCATCAGATACAATATGCAGCTAGAAAAACGGCACTTTAAATAATCTTTTGATGCCAGATAGATTTTTACCTTTCTAACATTTTTAACATGTTGTTAGCATGTTTCTAAAATGTTTTAATATGTTGCTCCCATGTTTTAACACATTCCTAACATGCTTCTAACATGATGCTAGTATAGTTGACCAAAAAATGAAATTTCTGTCATCAGGTACTCACCCGCATGTCATTCCAAACCCATAAGAGTTCCATAAATGTTAGAAAAACAAATGAAGTTTTTTTTTTTTCATTTCAGTTTTTTTCACTAAAACTTTCAAGCTTCAAAAAGTTCATAAAGACATCATAAAATAAATCTTTTACTTTCACAATTTCTTTTACGATATCTTTATGAACTTTTTGAAGTTTTGTTGTAATGTACTTGCAATAGAGTGATACTCTCAGGCTTCATTAAAAATACCTTAATTTGTGTTTCGCATAGGAATAAAAGTCTTATGGGTTTGGAACGGCGAGTAAATAATGACAAAACTTTAATTTTTGGGTGAACTATCCCTTTAAGGGCAGCTTAATAAATGAAGACAAAATATAAGATAGAAACATGTAGCTGAAGCTAAAGTAAAACGGAAAAGCAAAACCACAGATGTAGTTGAACGGTAGACTGCTGGACCTGTTGTTCAGGGTTTTGCTGTGTGCGGGCGGCACTGCTGAGGATCCACTGCAGGTTCTGATC